TATGAAGACTGAACACCAACAATATTAATAATAATAATAATAATAATAAAAAAAAATTAATTATAATAATTAAACAAACAATAATAACAGTAACACTATACAGGTAGCCAAAGAAGAATAAGTAAAAAAGAACTTCAAATCGGGAGCATGCACAGAAGGATTCTGCCGATCTTAAGTAGGTGTCCTCCTTTCAACAATTGTTTTGGCCTGTTTAGGTCCCTAAACAATGAAGGGGGGGGGGGAGAGGAGGGGGTGAGTGGGGGTTGTGAACCTGGGTCATGACTCCCAGACCTCACATTCGGACAAGACGGTGTGGTGATTTGCAACAGATACTGAGGTTATAGTGATTTGTATCGTCGCTGCAGTAGCAAATTAAGCTCCTACCTGTATGTCCAGAGTGACAAATGGACGGCTGGTTTATAGGACAAACGTTTATTAAACAGACTTTGGCAGTTGACAGCAGCACGGACAAGCGTTTATCAGACAGACTTTGGCAGTTGACAATAGCCCGGACAAACGTTGATTGGACAGACTTTGGCAGTTGACGGTAGCACGGACAAACGTTTATCGGACAGACTTTGGCAGTTGACAGTAGCACGGACAAACGTTGGTGGGACAGACTTTAGCGGTTGACAGTAGCATGGACATACGTTGATCGGACATACTTTAGCAGTTGACAGTAGCATGGACAAACGTTGATGGGACAGACTTTGGCAGTTGACAGTAGCACGGACAAAAGTTGACTGGACAGACTTTGGCAGTTGACAGTAGCACGGACAAACGTTGATTGGACAGACTTTGGTAGTTGACAGTAGCACGGACAAACGTTTATCGGAAAGACTTTGGCAGTTGACAGCAGCACGGACAAACGTGGATGGGACAGACTTTGGCAGTTAACAGTAGCACGGACAAACGATGATTGGACAGACTTTGGCATTTGACAGTAGCACGGACAAACGTTGATTGGATAGACTTTGGCAGTTGACAGTAGCACGGACAAACGTTATTGGACAGAGTTTGCCAGTTGACAGTAGCATGGACAAACGTTGACTGGACAAGAAGAATAGTAATCCAACATAAAACTGGTGATATTATTCACCACACGTTGGGGGAAGATACTGAAGATGGGATCCGCGACATTTTAGGCTTTCTTATGTTTGATGGACACCAGAGGGAAAAAGAAAACAGGGGCGCCCAAAAACAACCTGGAGACGAACGATGGAAAGGGACCTGAGTGTGGCATCTTTGACACGGCAAACTGCACTGAAGATTGCACAGGACAGGAAAGCACGAAAGTCCTCTCTGGAGCCTCATGTGCCACTAGGCATAACTAGAACTGATGATGATGATTATGTTTGATGAGGATGAAAGGCCGATGCACTAACTAAAATATTTATACTCATTGCTCTGTTTTCTGATGATACAAAGTTTACAGCGAAACCTCAGCAGGACTTAACTGAATTTCTAGAGTAAGGACATAGTTGCAGTGCAGAATGTTAATTATATTACCTAATTTATGATCAAACAGCGTACCATACATTCGGTAGTTTTTTTTTTTTTTTTTTTCTAACTTACGTCATAAAGGAGAACGAACAATTTCTACGCTAGTGGGTCTTTGGCAGGGCTGGATTTAGACATAAGAGACCCTACCTACATACATACAGTCAGTCCTTAGGCTTCCATAATTTCAAATTACAATTTTGAAAAAATTTAAAAGACCAGGCAGATGTACAAACATTATGAAATGAACCCCCACCCCCTGAAATAGTGTTAAAATATTTTATTTACAGTTAAACCTACAAAACTGTTAGTCTAACACATTGACATTTCAAAATAGCTTTAAAACTCCCTTGAAACTGTCTGCCCCGCACTCTCCCTGCTTGAAACTAAAAGAGTTAATACAAAAAGGGAGAGTCTTGAAACATATGCATAGAAACTACAAGTAATAAACAAAAATACAATGTATTAATTGTCACTCATAGAAAGATGTATAAAGAAAGAAGAACACACTAGACAACATAAAAATCAGAAGCTATATTTACATTGCTGGAAATCTAACCTGTCACCTACAAACGACTTGTGCGCCTTGCTATGGAAACAAGTGCACTAAGAACATGGTCAACTAGGCCCCACCAAAGAAGGTATCTTCATTGGCCATGTCTATCATACAGCTTTAAATACATTTTTTTAAAATCCTCTAATGTTTTCTCCCACCGAATTGAGATTGTTCTGGTAGTTTCGGAAAGTAAAATAGCAGCCCAAGAGAGAAGAGACCGAAATTCTACAGGAAACAGAAGGGTCGTTAACGACAATACTGAGCCATGGAGAGCTACCGCATGTCTGAAGTAATTTTTGTTGTTGTTGGGGACCCACCCTTTCTGGTAGGTACAGCTTTTGATCCATGCGCTGAAATCGCTAATCACGCATCATTTGATGTTTGCTCTTTCCTGGGCTGCAGTCAACCGCGCATTTCAATTATCCTTTGTAGCTCTTTTGTTATCTGGAGGCGACTCCAACCGTTGGACAGTCTAAGTAATCGTATGGTGTCTGTACCAGAGATGCCCGGTCCTTTGTAATCCGGGCCAATTCATGTACCTCATCTATTTCAACAACAGCAACAAAATCCATTAATGAAGAGTTCGGTTTCATTTGCCCGCCCACTCATGCGTACTAGGTTTCACGCCGTGAAATTATCCAATCTCTAGCACTCTGATTGTCATTTTAATTACTTCTCCTTCTTCTTCTTCTTCTTCTTCTTCTTCTTCTTCTTCTTCTTCTTCTTCTTCTTCTTCTTCTTCTTCTTCTTCTTCTTCTTCTTCTTCTTCCTCTTCTTCTTCTTCTTCTTCTTCTTCTTCTTCTTCTTCTTCTTCTTCTTCTTCTTCTTCTTCTTCTTCTTCTTCTTCTTCTTCTTCTTCTTCTTCTTCTTCTTCTTCTTCTTCTTCTTTCTTTCTTTTCCTTCTTCTTCTTTTTCTTCTTCTTCTCCTTTTTCCTTCTTCTAATTCTTCTCTTTCTTCTTCTTCTTCTTCTTCTTCTTCTTCTTCTTCTTCTTCTTCTTCTTCTTCTTCTTCTTCTTCTTCTTCTTCTTCTTCTTCTTCTTCTTCTTCTTCTTCTTCTTCTTCTTCTTCTTCTTCTTCTTCTTCTTCTTCTGCTGCGCTGCTGCTGCAGCTGCTGCTGCTCCTCCTTCTCTTTTTACTCATCCTCTTTTGTAACGAGTGGGAAATCCCAGGTATCCTATGGTGTTGGTTCCCCAGTATGAAGAATTAGGGGTCAAAGGCCTGTTAATTGGGGGAACCGTGAAAAAAATAAGCTTGTAATTTCCCGTCCAGGCGTTAACGATAGGAAGAAGAAATCGTAGGATGGGAACAAAGTTTTGGATGCGAGAAATCAGGAATGATCAGTTGGTATTTGTCAGTTGGAGAGGCAGGTCGAGTTAAGCGAGAGGAATGGCTGATATGAACTGATTTTATCTGGGACGCAAGGCAGATAGCTGAGCACAAATGAATCAGAATTGAAATGCTGAGCGACTAAGAGAATATTTGTGGCGCTGTACATCAATCAGATGCGAGGTACCAAACTGAGGGATTTGCTCGGTGTGAACTGTGAAAAGATTCAATGCTCAAGTTGTCTTCCTGATGTAGCAGTATTCGTGACGAATTACGAGTGAGAACTTCATTTGTTGGAGCAGCAATAAACGATACTTAAATTAGAGCTCTATGTCGTCACAATTTGTATTCTGCCAATTTACCCTTTAAGAGAGAGGACACAAAAGTCGCTGAGGGACCAACGGTCTGCATAGGCATACGCCAAATTTGTTGTTTGTTTGTTTGTTTTAGTATCCAGAAGCCATGAGTTGTTAACCCTTAGACTCGGTATTATGGATATCGCAACCTTTCGACCTTGATTCTATTGTAAGTACCGTAAATCTTGGAATGGGGCTTTTCTGCCTACCCCCGGGAGTGAACCCGGACCACAAGGAGTTCGTCACCTGGTCACCGCGCAATCGGTTTAGCCAACTACGCTAGAGAGCCGGGCTCGCCAAATTTGTAAATTGATGTGCACGCGCAATTGAAGTTTTATAACAAGACTAAAAGTCCGCAAGTGGACGAACAACCAAAACTTCCCGACGGTTTACAGCTAGCAAACGGTAGGCAAAGAAAATGAAGTTCTTTTACAACAGAAGAGGATTGTTCTTTTCTTCCATTTCTGGTGCATTGTAGTATTTCCCCACTTGGTTATCGTGTACAGAGACGCCTTGTTCAACTTGGGACTCGCTGGACGGGTGCCAGTCTGCCAAACAACCCCATTAAACTTATCTCGATAAATAAAATACTTTGTTTCTTAATTAGAGGTGTCAAACACGGGAAATGACACGTGTTATTGGAGATTACAGTTTGTGCAAAGGCATGATCGCAAAGGCAACTCTACAAGGCGCTTGATGATGATGATGATGTCGATTAGGATGATGAGAATATTAATGATGAGTATAATGATGAAGACGATTATGTTGATGAGGATGATGATGATGATGATGACAACGATGATGATGAGGATAATGATGACAATGATGATGAGGATGATGAGGATGATGATGATGATGGTGATAATGATGATGATGATGGTGATGAGGATGACGATGAGGAAGATGAAGATGACTTTGGTGATGACGATGATAATGAATAGGATGATGGGGATAATGATGGCGATGATTATGAGGACCATGACGGGGATGTTGGTGGGAATGGTGATTGTGATGGGGATGATGATTATGATCGGAATGATGATGATTATGATGATGATTATGATGAGGATGATGATTGTGTTTAGGATGATAATGAGGGGGATGAGGATGACGATGATGAACACGATGATGATAAGAAGGAGAGTGATGAGGATGATAGAGAGGATGATGAGGCTGATGATGATGATAATGAGGATGCGGATTACTAGTCGTCGGCCAGTGCACGAATCATTGTTCTTACTTTCTCGGTCTGAAGATGCACACAATTTGAAGATTTCCGATCTAAGGGACATTATTTGAACGACATACACTAAGTGGCCCTTATTGACGAACAACACATTATATAACACAGATAGGATAGCAAATAGCAGACGCAAAACTCGAGTAATGACAGTATAATGTTTGAGTAACTGAATACCTCCCTGTAACGAGGAAAAACTGCGTTCCAAGTTGAAGGAAAAGTTGTATTATTCAATGAAACTTGAGGATAGGAATTACTAGTCCCCGCAGGAGACCCTGTAAAGTCCGTGCAGTGCATTCCCCGGCTGGTTAATTAGTTACTGTCTGGTCGATGGGATGTCTTTACAACAGTACGTGAAAGGGTTTTTTATAGTGCGCTAAAGAGTTCTTTTTCTCCTGTAACGCCTTCGGCAGCGTTTCTCAGTTTCTGTCTAGTGACAACATGTTTACAAATAAAATTGCTAATTCTTCTTTCTTTGCCCCTAACATCAAGTTTGGCATTTTGCGTTGTGGTTTACAGCTAGGCTACTCTATCTGCCCATTTCGGTTCATGACAAATCTGATTTCAGCAAATCTCTAATCAGTATCCATTTAGAACATGCTTGTAAAGGCGTAGCGAGTCTGTACCTCTCCTTCCAGCTTTGTGCCCTGATATTTCCAACTCATTAAGCAGTGTTTCTCACGCTGTGTCCAGTTACAGCTCTTTTAAAGAGATTGCTAATTAAACTTAGGAACTTTTTTATAATGGTAGACACCGCGGTGTAGCGACTAGACGCTTGCTTCCGGATCTGAAAGTTATGGGTTTTAATTGTAACGATGCTGGGTATTTTTTTTTTTTTTTTTAAAGATCTTGATTCCAAGGTCGACCAAGTTTTAAATGGGTACCGGTTATAAGTACGGAGACGGAGCACGTATAGGAATGTTGCTAGTGCAGTGATGCTAGTTATTGATTCATTCATTTGTTATCATACGGTTTGCAAAGCATCTCGTTACTATATGTATGATGTTTAAACCCGCACAGTTATTTGACGGCGCGTTTTCATTATTTACGGGAAAGCCAGTACGCATAAAAACCTCGTCAACCAACATGCAAAAGAACTGTCAACTGATTAGTTGAACGTAAAATGCCATCGGATAACTATACATTTATGTTTTGGAACATTATGTTTTACCGCAACACTGATGGTACAATGACGGTATCAGAGTTAAATTAAATATGTATGTATATTTGAAATAAAAAACATTCATAAACCCTTCTACCTCTTATCAGGCCATCTAGGTTTACTCTGTAGAGTATGCCAGGCCCCCAAACGTGGTCTAACCCTTCTTATCTCTTTTCTCTCTTTGTCTCTTTCGCTCTCTCAGTTTTTTACCCGCTGCCTGCATAAGTCTTACTTGACTGGTTGGTTAGTAGTTGTACCACACCAGGACATCACACAAGCGATAAACACCCGGTGACACAAAGTGCCACCATCCAGATGAGGATCAGCCGTGGAGAGGTCCCAGAAACCCCTTTCAACCATTAGGCCATATTTATGGCCCGGCTATATTCTTTTAGTATCCAGAAGCCATGAGTTGTTAACCCTTAGGATCGGTATTATTAACCTTTCGACCTTGATTCCATGATAAATACCGTAAATCTGGGAGAAATGTGGCTTCTCTGCCTACCCCCGGGCGTGAACCCGGACAACAAGGAGTTCGTCACCCGGTCACCGCGCAGTCCGCTTTAGCCAACTACGCTAGAGAGCCGGGTCCCAACTATATTCAGGGCCCAGGGCAAAACCTGGGTGGGGATTTAAAATAACAAAGAACTGCATTCTACGAGAGGACGACTTATCGGACATTTTCTTTCTTTACTGGCTAAAGGATCTCTTTATTTAGGGTTTTTGCAGTCTGTTCTAGAAGTTTCTAATTATGCCAGGAACACTTGCAACTGGAATATTCTCATCAGCAAGGTAGCTACAAGTACGGTACGTCTGGGTCACATAAAGTTTGGCTAGATTTTTTTAGAAGTTTCAAGAAAGGATTGCCAAGGCCAATCAGGGACTCAATTGACGTGTATCAATTGCGTCACTGTTTTTTTTTTTTTTTTTTTTGGGAAAGGGGGGGGGGGGGGGGGTGGGGGGGGGGGGGAAGCTCTAGAAATCTATTGATTTCGATTGTAATTTGGTAATACGCAGTTATCGGACTGTTTCTGTTACATCTGGAACGTTAAAGAATCCCTATCTGCGTTACAAGGGACTCATTGAGGGGGTCGGAGGATAGAGGGAGGAGGGAGGGAGGATAGAGGGAGGAGGGAGGGAGGATAGAGCCAATGCTTCCC